AGCATTCTGCAGCGATACGCCATCCCATCTGGTTTGGGCTTAGTGGGACTATTGTTTTCAACAGGACAATGACCCAACACACCTCCAGGCTGTGTAAGGGATATTTTACCAAGTAGAGTGATGGAGTGCTGCATCAGATGACCTGGCCTCCACAATCCCCCGACCTCAACGCAATTGAGATGGTTTGGGTTGAGTTGGACGGCAGAGTGAAGGAAAAGCAGCCAACAAGTGCTCAGCATATGTGGGAACTCCTTCAAGACTGTTGGAAAAGCATTCCAGGTGAAGCTGGTACTGTATGTGTACATTTATTTTGCGGGCGGTGTGGTCGGTGGTGGTGTGGTCAGCATGTTACACAGCAAGTGGCAATAGATTTCAGGAACTCAACGCCTTACCACTGTGAGGTAACTGTCCAGAACCACATTTGTACACGATGGACATTATGTTATTATGAGAGTGTGCCAGTGGACTTCTGGTAAGTATGCTTTAGTGAGAAAGTGTTGAAACCACCCACAACTTCTCACCTGAATGCATTATTATTTATTTTTTCTTTAAGGGGCAAAAGCTTAAATTGGGGTTGAGAGTTAACCTTTAAACATGTCTCCAATCGTTGTTGAGATCTGATTCTGCGCAGCGCAAGATGAGACATTGGCCAATGTCATAGGCATATCATCAACCAATCACATTTCTCAAATCCTTTTGTGCTAAATTCCAGCCAAACTTTGGAGAAGGTTGCAATTGTAGCCTGCAATTCGGGGCGTTCCTACATGTGGGCATTCCTGCACAGTGTTGCCAACTTAGCAACTTTGTCGCTATATTTAGCGAGTTTTCAGACCCCTCTAGCGACACATTTTCAAAAAAGTGACTAGTGACTTTTTCTGGTGTTATTGGAGACTTTTGGAGACTCTGACGTGAAAGCACGTATCGTTCTTACTCTTCTCAACGAGCAGCAGGTGCTGCCGTGGGCCCCACCCGGGCAACACCCCCGTCCCAAAGCACTCACAGGCGGCCCAGTCCTCGCGCAGCAGTCCCTCCCAGCTGCAGTCAGAGCAGGAGATGTTCACCCCTCTGCGTCCAGACTGCAAATGAATCGCGCATGCGGGAAGCTGCCGCTGGCTGTTCCCGCCCTGGCTTACATTCAGGGCGGGGTGTAAATGTAGGGTGTTTTTTACTCACTTTTTGTCTCTCCCATGACTTTATTCCTCTCTCCTCCAGCGTCCATCACAATTACATGCACATGGCCAATTATGCAAATTAGGTGATGACAGCCAATAGCTACTTTCCTTACTGAGGAGTTGGCAACACTGTATCCTGCATCTGCAGGAACCCCTCTTTATACTTCTATTGGTAAATGTTTAAGTTAGGATAGGAGGGAGCGCTCAAGTGCAGTATGTAGTGTTAATGCACAATAACGTTGGATGCCAGCTGCATTTAAACTCCACTGAAGAAGGGGCGGGGGCGACAAAAGTAGCTCGCTAGCCATACACCAGTAGACAGTGTCCTTCACCCCTGCCTGTCGGGCATTGTTTTCTCGCAGTTCTGTTAACGACAGCGAGGGCAGGTGTTCGGCAGGCTGGAGCAAAGCACACTGTGCTAGCTTAGCCAGCTAGTCCGGTACACAGCAGGCGGGGGCTACCCCTTCTGTCTGTGGCTACACCGTGTGCTAACTAGCTATGTGTGCTAGCTAACTAGCAAGCTAGCTAACAGCAAGCTAGCAAACCTTACCTGTCACCCTAGACCCACTTCAATTTGCTTACCGCCCCAATAGATCCACAGACGATGCAATTGCCATCACACTGCCCTATCCCATCTGGACAAGAGGAATACCTATGTAAGAATGCTGTTCATTGACTATAGCTCAGCATTCAACACCATAGTACCCTCCAAGTTCATCATTAAGCTCGAGGCCCTGGGTCTGAACCCCGCCCTGTGCAACTGGGTCCTGGACTTCCTGACGGGCCGCCCCCAGGTGGTGAAGGTAGGAAACAACATCTCCACTTCGCTGATCCTCAACACTGGGGCCTCACAAGGGTGCGTGCTCAGCCCCCTCCTGTACTCCCTGTTCACCCATGACTGCGTGGCCAAGCACGCCTCAAACTCAATCATCAAGTTTGCAGACGACACAACAGTAGTAGGCTTGATTACCAACAATGACGAGACCGCCTACAGGGAGGAGGTGAGGGCTCTGGGAGTGTGGTGCCAGGAAAATAACCTCTCACTCAACATCAACAAAACAAAGGAGATGATCGTGGACTTCAGGAAACAGCAGAGGGTGCACCCCCCTATCCACATCGGCGGGACTGCAGTGGAGAAGGTGGAAAGCTTCAAGTTCCTTTGCGTACACATCACCGACAAACTGAAATGGTCCACCCACTCAGACAGTGTGGTGAAGAAGGCGCAACAGAGCCTCTTCAACCTCAGGAGGCTGAAGAAATTTGGCTTATCACCTAAAACCCTCACAAACTTTTACAGATGCACAATTGAGAGCATCCTGTCGGGCTGTATCACCGCCTGGTACGGCAACTGCACCGGCCACAACCGCAGGGCTCTCCAGAGGGTGGTGCGGTCTATCGAACGCATTACCGGGGGCAAACTACGCGCCCTCCAAGACACATACAACACCCGATGTAACAGGAAGGCCAAAACATATGCACTCACTAACTGTAAGTCGCTCTGGATAAGAGCGTCTGCTAAATGACTAAAAAAAAAGAAACAAAGAAAAAGAAGATCATCAAGGACATCAACCACCCAAGCCACTGCATGTTCACCCCGCTATCATCCAGAAGGTGAGGTCAGTACAGGTGCATCAAAGCTGGGACCGAGAGAATGAAAAACAGCTTCTATCTCAAGGCCATCAGACTGTTAAATAGCCATCACTAGCACATTAGAGGCTGCTGCTGCTGCCGCCTATTGAAATCACTGGCCACTTTAAGAAATGGAACACCGGTCACTTTAATAATGTTTACATATTTTGCACTACTCATCTCATATGTATATACTGCATTCTATTCTATAATATTCTTCTGTATCTTAGTACATGACGCTCTGTATCTTAGTACATGACGCTCTTGTCCATATATGAATATATTCTTAAATCCCATTCCTTACTTTTTTGTGCGTATTGGGTATATGTTGTGAAATTGTTAGATATTACTGCACTGTCGGAGCTAGAAGCACAAGCATTTCGCTACACCCGCTAAAACATCTACTAAGCACGTGTATGTGACAAATAAAATGTGATTTGATATGTGACAGCTAGCTAGCTTTAGCTAGCTTATCATTAGCCAACTGGCTAAATGTAAACACTGTATAAGCATGTTAACGAAGAAAAACGTATTAGAGCACAGCTAGCTACATGCCCGCTTATTGTCATTTTAGCTAAACTTGTGGACACATAATCAGTAACATTGGGCTTCTTCACACTGATAGACAGACAGTTTTGCATGGGCATGTTAGCTAGCAATCCTAGGTTGTGTTCGTAAATTCACTCTAGAGTGCCAGAGTGCAGAGTGCGCCACAGCCAGAACAATTAGCCAGATATTTTACCTGATGTATAAATATGAAGCATCCGGTTGCCGTTTCCACTCACTACCAAATATGACGAGACGAAGCCCAGTGGCTGGCAGTGGTAGAAGATGGAGCGAGACGGATTTTGGCCGACATTCTGCACATTTTCTCATCGATTAAACATTTGATCTCCATACTGTTTTGTGTTTCCAAAAATGTAATCTTTAACAAACAAAGTGGACTGCGTTTTGTATACTTTTTTTTTTTAAAGGAGTGCAAGGGCGAATCGAGTTAATACACAAACGCACTTTAGAGTAGGCGTTCCCTAACGGAAATATGCAAATAAATGTTAGAACGCGCCAATAGGATCTCACTAGCTCGTTCTTGGCTCTGCCCAGCTCCTCGCTTGTTCTGCCCACTAGGATTTATTTGCTCCCATTGGAAACGACAGGTCTATCTTGGGTTAGTTATAAAAACATCTTTGGTTTCGCTCTCGCAGCGTTCACTGGATGGTCTGGCCGAGGAGTAGTTGATCAGAGCGTTCTGACCTCACAACAACAGCAGTCAAGCTAAGTTAGCTTGCTAACTAGCTACTTCCAGACACAAATGAGAGAACACCTCACTCTGACCATTTTAATCACCCTAGCAGAGCTGGTTAGGCTATTTTCATGTTATGTAGAGCGTTGGTGACTAATTGTGCTGCTGGCAACAATTTAATTGCCGACGTTTACACTACTGACACCGGTCATATTCAACGGGTGTTGCGCGTTCGTAAATTCCTCATGTATTCTTCGCTCTCCCAGACGAGGGTGCTCTGAATTCGGAGTAGATAGCCAGAGTGAATTTACGAACGCACCCATAGTTACCGTGCAACTTCACATTGTGGTAGCTAAAGTTAGCTAGCTAGCCAACTCAAAGAGTAACAAAAGGTCTGTGGAGTAACGTTATAGTTAGCTAGGCCAGTATGGGCTGACTGCATTTGTGATGAATGCTAGCTAGCTAATTACCGCAATGCAATGTAACGTTAGCTTTTAACTAGTAAGTTAGCTAGATAGCTAGTAAAGTAATTTATTAGCTATCTAACGTTACAGTAGCTGTCCTGCCTTGCTTTGTACTGCAAGCAACTGGCTAACTAGTAGCTAGCAAGCTTGGCGTAAGCACTCGCCTCTCTCCCAACTAAAACCAGGAATTGGCGTGATTTAGCTTACCTTACAAAACTCAGAACAATATTCTTTGCTTTGTACCGAACAGTTGTCGTTAGAGTATATGTACAAAGTCTCCAGTTCCAATTCTAGCCTGTCTGTTTCCAAATCACTTTTCCCCTCCGCCATACTGGCAAGTTTACCTTGCACATATCAAAGGGCCTACTAGCGGATAGGTTGACATACTACAACAACTCATATCCTGGATCTAGATGGGATAAAAGCTACATCAATATGAAGGGATATGAGAATGCAAGAAAGTTGCTCATAAGTTTTTTTTTTTTAATGACCAGGCATTAAACAGCAGAAAATCTTACGGAATGTGCATGGTTTATTTTATTAAGTGCCAAATTGATGGTAAACTGCTGGAATGGGTAGACAACAGAGATCAATACACATGGGTAAAGCCAGTGCTTGACTTGAGCAGGAGCTCACTGGAACCGAGTACCAGCACCTCAAATGTTTTTCTGCTTGAGTTCCTGCATCTCCTAGCAAATTAGCTCAAAAGTATTGAGTTCCTGCACCTAAATATAAAATGGTACGTAGAGAGAACATTCCTCATGTCACCGTGCAAAGGGCAGTTGATGTCCCTCTCAAGAATCTCTCTACCCTGCCAGGAGTGACATCACTACCCACATACTGCAAAGCAACGTGAAATGTCAAAGCACAATACAACAGGTAGAATAAGGCAATACAATGCAAGTGACCCCAAATAGAGGAGAATACATTATTAAAACAGCAAGACATCCAGTCGTTGATTGATGAGATTTGTTTTGAGATTTGTTTTTATAAACAGTGAGAAATGATTTGAGGCAGTGATTTGGGTTATGAAGCACCCTTGGTTCTCAGCTTGGATAGCAGCATTTCATTCTTCCGACACTCCTGTAAGAAAGAGTATTGGATTAGTAAAACAACGTCAGTGATTTACATTTACATTTTAGTCATTTAGCAGACGCTGTTATCCAGAGCGACTTACAGGAGCAATTAGGGTTAAGTGCCTTGCTCAAGGGCACAGACAGATTTTTCACCTAGTCGGCTCAGGGATTAGAACCAGCGACCTTTCGGTTACTGGCACAACGCTCTTAACCACTTCTTTATCAGTTTAGAAAACAAAACAAAAATCAGCTCTGGGAGACAACAGTAGAACACATTCATAAAACAGTTAACTAGTTCCATCATGTTTTACCATACAGACCCAGAATGCGGTTATCTCTCAGGCCTCACCTCTTTGAAGTCCTTGACAGTTTTGAAGTAGAGCCTCTGTTTGTCCAGCAGCTCCAGGTACTCATCATTCAGCTGGTCTCTCCTCATCTTATTCTCCTGCTTCTTCTTCTCCATCTGTAAACCAGGAGAAGACATCACCAATATGCATCACACATCACTGTCATTTTTAAGCGTTTTTCACTAGGGCCAGGGGGTAAGCACCTGGCGTCTTCAGCTCAAGCTGTCATTAGGCAGCAGACGGTGAAGATAATAAGAGATGGTTAGTTACTGTACTCACCTTGATGCAGCTTTGTTTGATTCCCTCCACTATCTGCTCCATCTGTCTCAAGAACTGCTCCTTGGCCCCCAAAGACGCCATCGCCCTGAGCAAGACAGGAGACCACAGCTTAGACAGGAGGTAAACCTGCTGGACTCCATTACCCATAATACCAAAAGCAGGATATGTTTAGAAAGGGTAAATTGTGAAAATACTCACTGTTGGAAGTTGTCATGGATAGAATTCAGCAAGTTCACCTACAGAAACAGATCAACACAGAGGAGGATGACTATCATGAGTAAACCAGCTGATTTCAGCTGCAATGGCTCTATGAAACTGATTGACATAGTATGCCCTCTCCTCTTACCTCCTTCTCCAGGTAAACCTTCTTGTCATCTAATGTGTTATACAAGGTGAAGAACTGCTTTGTCTCTTTATGTGTTGCTGAAACTAGGGGACACACACAAAATGAATGTTTCTTTGATGCAATAACTTGTTAACTTAACAATTCAATAAAAACAAGTGATTGGGTTACTATTATAGAAAACAATCACTGTCTCCAGGTGGTTGAGGCTAAGATACCTACCTTGGCCATAGAGCTCAATGAACCTCTTCTGATACTGGGTCAGTTCTGCCCTGCTCGGCACCTCGTCTATCTTCCTCTGCAGGATGGCGATCTCACGGTTCCTCTGAGCCTATCAGAGAGTAGACCTCAGGTCATGAGCAAATAAAGGACGTGGTAAGAGGACCACTATTTGCATGCTCAAAACAGAATGCCTAAGTGAATTCAAATTGATTAAGCAGGAATTAATCCTGCTACAGCAGTGTGCATTGGCGCTTTTACCATCAGTAGTCTGATCTTCTGTAGCTTCTCTCTGTCTGTGTTGTACTGCTTGTCGATTAGCTGACACTTCTCCTTAGGGAGAGAGAACGAGAATGAGAGAAAGAGGGAAAGACAGTGAGTCACAGTGTAACATTTGTTAAACACAGACATAGAAAATAGTTAGTTGGTCTTGGGAGTGTGTTACCTTCTCGTCCTCCGTATCATCTCCTGACTCCATCTTCAGGTCCTCAATGTTCTGCTGCAGGCGAACCATCTCCTCCTGGAAAGAAATTGCGCTCCATATTAGTTGTGGTGCTCTTACCAGGAAATAAGAGAATTACATCACAAATACACCTGTGAAGTAGGTCCATTTCAAACTTAAATCTTACAAGTCATATATGGATGGACTATGACGTATTGGGGAAAGTATGCAGACTCACTCTACAGTGTGTCCGGAACTCCTGCTCCTGGTGCTTCAGGTTCTCATTCATGCCTACCTGAGCCCTCAGCTTCTCCAACAGACTGTGGCACACACAGGGAGGATGAGAAAAGTCCAAAACACCTGTATAATTTCAGGGGTTTTATATACTAACAACCGCTGAATGAATGCCCTAATGGTTTGGTCTGTATGTGCAGCACTCACCCAGTGTCAGCCTGGCTCTCAGCCTCTTCCAGGGCACTCAGCTCTTTCTCCAGTCTCTCTGTCTGCTCTGTGGCCTCCATCAGTTTGCTCTTAGCTTCCTCACACCCTGATTTTACCTCCAAGTGTTTGGCTTGTAGCTGAAAACACAAAATGCACATACTTTTAGTTACTTCTGACAGGAAAAGAAAGTGCATCGTATCCTTAAAGAAATGCATGGCTATTTTACACAAAGTTCTGTGAAGTTCACAAAGTCCAGTCGTCACCTCCTCCAACTGCTTGGTCTTCTGTTGGATCTGTTTGTTCAGAGAGGTCACTATCCTACGGTGCTGCTGGACTGGCCCGTACCGCTCTGGACGATCCTCTGCAGACCGCTCCGACTGCTGGAAATGTGTGTGTGGAAACACATTTAACTACACACTGTGGCATTGACTTATCCTTTAAATTATGACAAACATTTTATTGATTTATTTATTGATTGCAGTTAACCATTTAGGTGAACCCTGAGGTGGGAGTCGCTCACCTTCTCAGCGTACTCAGATGCTATCTGTTTAATCTCCTCAGACTGCAGGCCAACTATCTGGCCCACGGTGCTAGCCATTAGCCTCCCCTGCAGGTAAACACAATATATTGATGTTACATATTAAATAAAAAACCTTTACATAAATCAACCACACAGTAAAGGCTGGCAAAGAGAAGAACTAAAGTCATGCCTACCTCCTCAGTCGCCATGGCAGCCATGCTGGTCATCAGTGTTTTAATGCGCAGCTGAGAGGATATATGACAGGGAGTCAGGGACATCATCACAAAGAGGGATGCATTTCTGAAGTATTGGACATGGGGCTATGGTTGGGTTTAGAGCGATACATGTGTGATGTGACCTCACCTCCTCCGCTGCCTGCAGGTCCTCCTCCTCCAGCAACCCCTCTGTCATCCCTGGGGGTGTGGCCTGAGAGCCTGGGGTCAACAAGGCTTTCCGCTCCTCTGCCTGTAGGGAACAGGGGGATACAATCTTTCATCATGGTTTCACTTTCTACTTTCTACTATAGCAACAGTTCACAGAACACCTATGATCCACCAGTCTCCATCTCTGTAATAATGGTTATAATGATCAACCTCCTGTCCCTATCTTTCTGTAGAAGGCTGTAGTTATAGGCTTTGAATTCATATAATTTTACAATTAACTTCACATAGATGACAGTAATGAAATATATTTTTTATTTCAATAAAGCTCACCTGGTCCTGTTTTGTCTGCTTGCTGAATCCATAGCGTCTAAAACACAGGAGTAATAAGTACTTAAGTCACTGTTAGGCACAGGAGGTTGGTGGCACCTTAATTAGGTAGGACGGGCACATGGTACTGGCTGGAGTGGAATGATGGAAAGGTATCAACAACATCAAACACATGGTTTCCATGTGTTTGATGCCATTCCATTCGCTCTGTTCCAGCCATTATTATGAGCCATCCTCCCCTCAGCAGCCTCTACTGCTGTTAGGATACTGGTCCATGAAAGGAGCACATAACACATGCATGCACCCACCCACCCACTCACTCAATGCTTATTTGAAGTTTTCTTTATTAAAACACACACATAACAAGCATTCATGTGAAACACTCCTTGCAGTGAACAAGTCCATTCACATACTTACAGAAGGTAATCTGACATTCTAATACAAGGATGGATGAGACGCAGGAAAAGGATAGGAAAATGAAAGGGACACAATTGTCAAATGGGATGAGATCACATTGGTTCTGATTCTCAATGTGAACATGTAACATGAACTGTGGAGAAAGTTGGATATGGAGGACTGAATATGGAGAGATGGAGAGAAAGAAAGAGAGAGAGCGAGACAGGCAGCCTACCTTCCGTACTCCAGCAGAGTAGAGTGAACCCTGGACTCCTCGTCCAGCAGCTCTCCTGCTTCAACCTGTCTCTTGTATTTCCTCTGAGGTTTATACACTTCCTGTCAATACCAGAGGAGAAAAACAACATGCTGTGTGCTTTGAATGTTTCTATACTATTACAAGGGGGGCCTTTAAAACAAATCCAATTTAATTTGTCACATGCTACGTAAACAACAGGTGTAGACTAACAGTGAAATGCTTACTTACGGGCCCTTCCCAACAACGCAAAGACCAAAATAGAAAAATATTAGAAAATAATAACACAAGGAATAAATAGACAATGAGTAATGATAACTTGGCTATATACACGTGGTAACAGTACCGAGTCGATGTGCAGCGTGTACGAGGTAATTTAGGTAGATATGTACATATACGCAGAATTGGTCAGGAGCCCGTAAAATGTCTGCTATCCACTGCAGCGCCATCTTTATGCCATCTTTATTGTAAAGGCTCATGGAATAATTTGACCCAGACATAGCATGTCAGCTTCATGTCACGGAGTCACTAACCGATACATCTAGGACTGCTTTCACAGCCTTCTCCTTCCTCTGCAGGAAGTCTTCATCCTAGGATGGAGGAACAATACAAGGTGCATAAGACAGGGGTTTATTCAGCAAAAAGTTCACAACGTTGCACTTAGAAATATAATGAGTAGAGTTGGAGTTGAATATGAAGCTGGAGACACTCATCTCCCTCAATAACTTTAAGCATCAGTTGTCAGAGCACCTTACCGATCACTGCACCTGTACACAGCCCATCTGAAATTAGCCCGCCCAACTACCTCATCCCTATATTGTTATTTATTTTGCTCATTTGTACCCCAGTATCTCTATTTGCACATCATCTCTTGCACATCTATCATTCCAGTGTTAATACTAATTGTAATTATTTTGCACTATAGCCTATTTATTGCCTTACCTCCATAACTTGCTACATTTGCACACACTGTATATATATTTATTTCTGTTGTATTTTTGACTTTGTTTTGTTTTACCCCATATGTAACTCTGTGTTGTTGTTTTTATCGCACTGCTTTGCTTTATCTTGGCCAGGTCGCAGTTGTAAATGAGAACTTGTTCTCAACTGGCTTACCTGGTTAAATAAAGGTGAAATAAAATAAAAATAAAAATATCCCTGCCATGTAGCCACCCTACAATAACAGCACTCACCTCAGGGAAGCTGTGTGTCTTCTGGAACTGAGAAACAGAGTAGGCTCTCACAGAGTCTCCCATCTCCTCCCTCGTCTCTATGGCCCTCTTCACCAGCCACTGAAGATCATACAACACAGGCAATGAATCAGACATGAGGTCACAAACCAAATACGGTACTCTACTACAAAACTCTAATGTCTAGGAATACACACCTGTATCACTGGAAATATATGGATGAAATCCAGCCCTTGGATCTGATGGGGCTCCAGGCGATGAGGGCACTTCATTTTGGGCAGAACAGACACAATCTTCTCTGTGAGAGCTCTGCAAGGAGATTCACAAGGTCATCCGACATCAGTTACACTGGTCCAGCAACATCACTAACAGTAAACACAATAATGCTGTCTGTTAGCTACTTACATTTTCTGTCCAATTGTTGAATTCTCCTGGAACAGCAGATCCACGTCAATGTCAAAGTTACATGTTGTAATGCACCATGTCATCCCTCCAACCACCTATGAAAAGACATGGTTCAGGGAATGGAATTAGAAAGGGTAACTTAGCAAGGAGATGGTAAACCAGGAATCAAAAGCCTGCAGATCTTCAGGAGGGTTGTAATGTAAGTTGGTTCTCACCTTGTCAAAAGGTCCCAGTCCTTTGATTCGGGCTCTGAAATATCCAGCAGCAAGCAGAAGTTCCAGGATTTCTGCTAGCTTGACACTCTGCTCCTCGTCCTCCCTTGTTTCAACCTGCTAGCCACAGTTGCTAACATCAGTTGCTTTACAGTGCCTTCGGAAAGTGTTCAGACCCCTTGACTTTTTCCACATTTTGTTAAGTTACAGCCTTATTCTAAAATGGATTGAATAAATAAATACCCTCAGCAATCTACACACAATACCCCATAATGAGAAAGTGAAAACAGGTTTTTAGAATTGTTTGCAAATGTATATATATTTTTTTTAAAGGCACACACCTGTCTATATAAGGTCCCACAATTGACAGTGCATGTCAGAGCAAAAATCAAGATTGTGTAGAGGCACAGATCTGGGGAAGGGTACCAAAAAATTTCTGCAGCATTGAAGGTCCCCAAGAACACAGTGGCCTCCATCATTCTTAAATGGAGGAAGTTTGGAACCACCAAGACTCTTCCTAGAGCTGGCCGCCTCGCCAAACTGAGCAATCGGGGGAGAAGGGCCTTGGTCAGGGATGTGACCAAGAACCCGATGGTCACTCTGACAGAGCTCTAGAGTTCCTCTGTGGAGATGGGAGAACCTTTCAGAAGGACAACCATCTCTGCAGCACTCCACCAATCAGGCCTTTATGGTATAGTGGCCATACAGAAGCCACTACTCAGTAAAAAGGCACATGACAGCCCGCTTGGAGTTTGCCAAAAAGCACCTAAAGACTCTCAGACCATGAGAAACAAGACTCTCTGGTCTGATGAAACCAAGATTCAACACTTTAGTGAATGCCAAGCGTCACGTCTGGAGGAAACCTGGCACCATCCCTACAGTGAAGCATGGTGGTGGCAGCATCATGCTGTAGGGATGTTTTTCAGCCGCAGGGACTGGGAGACTAGTCAAGATCGAGACAACGCAGGAGTGGCTTCGGACTTGAACTCGATCAAACATCTCTGGAGAGACCTGAAAATAGCTGTGCAGCAACGCTCCCCATCCAACCTGACAGAGCTTGAGAGGATCTGCAGAAGAATGGGAGAAACTCCCCAAATACAGGTGTGTCAAGCTTGTAGTGTCATACTCAAGAAGACTCGAGGCTGTAATTGCTGCCAAAGGTGCTTCAACAAAGTACTGAGTAAAGGGTGTGAATACTTATGTAAATGTGATATTTATATAAATTAGCAACAATTTCTAAAAAGCTGTTTTTGCTTTGTCATTATGGGCTATTGTGTGTTGATTGAAGGGAAACATATATATTTAATCCATTTTAGAAGAAGGCTGTAACCTAACAAAATGTGGAAAGTCAAGGGGTCTGAATACTTCCCGAAGGCACTGTATTTAGCAAACAGTGAATTCGCTAGCTCCAGTACCTAGCGAACTGGCAAACAAAGCAATGTTTACATTGCAGTGTTGTTATATCATGACACAAACTGCACCATATTTGGAAAAACGACAGACTAAAACGTATTAAAGAAAATTATGTTACCTGAATAAGATTGCCCTCTTGATCATATTGAGCTCCTATTTTAGACCCTGTTCTCACTCTGTGGAAAACAGAAATGGCCGCCATGTTGGACTGTGTATAGTGTTGCCAACGCCTCAGTAAGGAAAGTAGATATTGGCTGTTCTAAAAGTCACTAAATTACGTCATCACTTAATTAGCATAATTGGCCATGTGTGATGGACACTGTAGGAGAGAGGAATAACGTCGTGGAGAGACAAAAAGTGAGTAAAAAGCTGCGCGAGGATTGGGCCGCCTGTGAGTGCTTTGGGACTCCCACGGCAGCGAGTAAGAACGATACGTGCTTCACATTTACATTTTGCAGACGCTCTTATCCAGAACGACTTACAGTTAGTGAGTGCATACATAAAAAATAAAAAATAAATCACACTGGCCCCCCGTGGGAATCGAACCCACAACATGCTCTTCCAACTGAGCTACACGGGTCCCTGCTTTCACGTCAGAGTCTCCAATAACACCAGAAAAACTCACTAGATTTGTCGCTAGTTGCTTTTTTGAAAATGTGTCGCTAGAGGGGTCTGAATACTCGCTAAATATAGCGACTTGGTCGCTAAATTGGCAACACTGTCACATGACGAAAGCATATGACTTTGGTCATTCCATGAAAAATTGTGCGTTCAAGATGTAGTTGTAATTTTTATACAAAAAGTAAGCTAACCACACGTAGATGCAGACTGCACCACGGCCACGGTCGAGAAATGAGAGTCGATAAAGTGAGTATTGAGTTAACATTTAGAAAAACTAAAGGTCACAATGTTGCATGTGAATTGCTGCAGCGGTTCTAAACGTTGCAATTCCACTTCTGTCCACTGGAAGGAGCTCTAATGCCACTAAAGATTATATGGAAAGGCTAAAATGATGAAGCTCTCTAGGTCTGAAGCCAACATCATTGCATCTTTCATTTGAACAGGGTTGTAAATCTTGTTGGCGACAAAGAAATCATGCAAGTTCTGATTAATGATCCTCAATTGTTGAAGTGATGCAAGGAAGCAGCACCATCAAGTACACATCCAGTCCAATGATCCTGCCATAGGCCTATAATGCAAACCATCAGCCAATCACATAAAACGTGAAATCTATTTGCAGTGTGTGTGTGTGTGTGTGTGAGAGAGAGAGAGAGAGAGAGAGAGAGAGAGAGAGAGCAAGTGTGAGAGAGAGAGACACTAGAGCGCTCCCATTTAACAACTTGTGTTTGAATTCCTTCTGCCTTTGTCTTAAGTGTGCTTTTTGTTACAAATAATATAATCACCATATTTCTAAACAATACTGCGCCATTGTTTAAAAGAAAAGCCATTACAGAGCGGGTTAGACCTTCACATAAGTGCGAGTGCTCTGGCAGGCACCTGATGTCTTTGTATTTCACATGATGGACACTATTAAAGTGGAGGATCCCATAATGGTATATGCATCAGTGCAGGTAATAGTTGCCAGGTTGAGCACCCAGGAGGCAGTGGAGGATTCCATTAGAGACTCACAGTTCCTAAATCAGTCATTCTCTCTCTCTCTCTCTCTCTCTCTCTCTCTCTCTCTCTCTTCTCGCTCTCTCTCTCTCTCTCTCTCTCTCTCTCTCTCTCTCTCCCCCTATGTCTCTCTCTGTGTGTGTATTGAACTGCCTCTTTCAGGTAATTACTACAGCTTCATAAACTCTCTACTCCTCAGCCTCCTCAACAATGAAAAGAGACCTAGTCCTTGGACTTATCCATGCCCACCTGGCTGAAACCATTAGACAGTGGCTCTCACTCAAACCTAAGAGGCTTACAACAGTACATCACCTGACAAGAGTGATGGGCTATAGATTTTTCTTATAGGTTGAAGCCATATTGCAAGGTTTTTCTTAGGGTGATTACAATATTTTTATTACAATATTATAGCTTACTGTGACCCCTATTGTATCATATATGTATACTATAAATACATATATATATAACCAAAAAAGTGTTAAACAAATCAAAATATATTTTATATTTCAGATTCTTCAAAGTAGCCACCCTTTGCCTTGATGACAGCTTTGCACACTCTTGGCATTCTCTCAACCAGCTTCACCAGGAATGCTTTTCCAACAGTCTTGAAGGAGTTCCCACATATGCTGAGCACTTGTTGACTGCTTTTCCTTCACTCTGCGGTCGAACTCATCCCAAACCATCTCATTTGGGTTGAGGTCGGGTGATTGTGGAGGCCAGGTCATCTGATGCAGGACTCCATCACTCCCCTTCTTGGTCAAATAGCCCTTACACAGCCTGGAGGTGAGTTGGGTCATTGTCCTGTTGAAAAACAAATGATAGTCCCACTAAGTGCAACCCAGATGGGATGGCGTATCGCTGCAGAATGCTGTAGTATCCATGCTGGTTAAGTGTGCCTTGAATTCTAAATAAATCACTGACAGTGTCACCAGCAAAGCAACCCCACACCATCACAACTCCTCCTCCATGCTTCACGATGGGAACCACACATGCGGAGATCATCCGTTCACCGACTCTGCGTCTCACAAAGACATGGCGGTTGGAACCAAAAATCTCAAATTTGGACTCATCAGACTAAAGGACAGATTTCCACCAGTCTAATGCCCATTGCTTGTGTTTCTTGGCCCAAGCAAGTCTCATTTTCTTATTGATGTCCTTTAGTAGTGGTTTCTTTACAGTAATTTGACCATAAAGGCCTGATTCACGCAGTCTCCTCTGAACGGTTGATGTTGAGACGTGTCTGTTACTTGAACTCTGTGAAGCATTTATTTGGGCTGCAATTTCTGAGGCTGGTAACTCTAATGAACTTATCCTCTGCAGCAGAGGTAACTCTGGGTCTTCCTTTCCTGTGGCGGTCCTCATGAGAGCCAGTTTCATCATAGCGCTTGATGGTTTTTGCGACTGCACTTGAAGAAACTTTCAAAGTTCTTGAAATGTTCCGTATTGACTGACCTTCTTGTCTTAAAGTAAAGATGGACTGTCATTTCTCTTTGCTTATTTGAGCTGTTCTTGCCATAATATGGACTTTTTTACCAAATAGGGCTATCTTCTATATACCACCCCTACCTTGTCACAACACAACTGATTGGCTCAAACTCATTAAGAAGAAAATAAATTCCACAAATTAACTTTTAAGAAGGCACACCTGTGAATTGAAATGCATTCCAGGTGACTATCTCATGAAGCTGGTTGAGAGAATGCCAAGAGTGTGCAAAGCTGTCATCAAGGCAAAGGGTGGCTATTTGAAGAATATCAAATATATTTTGATTTGTTTAACTTTTTTGGTTACTACATGATTCCATATGTTTATTTCATAGTTGTGATGTATTCACTATTATTCTACAATGTAGAAAATAGTGGGGGGAAAAATAAAGAAAAACCCTTGAATGAGTAGGCGTTCTAAAACTTTTGACTGGTAGTGTATATATATATATATATATGTACAGTGCCTTCGGAAAGTATTCAGACCCCTTCACTTTTTGTTACGTTGCAGGCTTATTCTAAAATTGATTAAATTAATGTTTTTCCTCATCAATCTACACACAATACCCCATAATTTCAAAGCAAAAGCTGTTTTTATTTTTATTTTTGCAAATGTATTAAAAATAAAAAAACAAATACCTTATTTACATAAGTATTCAGACCCTTTGCGATAAGACTCAACATTTCCAAACGCCTGAGGGTACCACGTTCATCTGTACAAACAATAGTACGCAAGTATAAACACCATGGGACCAAGCAGCCGTCATACCGCTCAGGAAGGAGACGCGTTCTGTCTCCTAGAGATGAACGTACTTTGGTGCGAAAAGTGCAAATCAATCCCAGAACAACAGCAAAGGACCTTGTGAAGATGCTGGAAGAAACAGGTACAAAAGTATCTCTATTCACAGTAAAACGAGTCCTATATCGACATAACCTGAAAGGCCACTCAGCAAGGAAGAAGCCACTGCTCCAAAACCGCCATAAAAAAGCCAAACTACGGTTTGCAACTGCACATGGGGACAAAGATCGTACTTTTTGGAGAAATGTCCTCTGGTCTGATGAAACAAAAATAGAACTGTTTGGCATTAATGACCATTGTTATGTTTGGAGGAAAAAGGTGGTGGTTGCATGCCGAAGAACACCATCCCAACCGTGAAGAACGGGGGTGGCAGCATCATGCTGTGGGGGTGCTTTGCTGCAGAAGGGCCTGGTGCACTTCACAAAATAGATGGCATCATGAGGAAGGAAAATTATGTGGATATATTGAAGCAACATCTCAAGACATCAGTCAAGAAGTTAAAGCGTGGTCGCAAATGGGTCTTCCAAATGGACAATGACCCCAAGCATACTTCCAAAGTTGTGGCAAAATGGCTTAAGGACAACAAAGTCAAGGTATTGGAGTGGCCATCACAAAGCCCTGACCTCAATCCTATAGAAAATGTGTGGGCAGAACTGAAAAAGTGTGTGCTAGCAAGGAGGCCTACAAACCTGACTAAGTTACACCAGCTCTGTCAGGAGGAATGGGCCAAAATTAACCTAACTTATTGTGGGAAGCTTGTGGAAGGCTACCCGAAACGTTTGACTCAAGTTAAACATTTTAAAGGCAATGCTACCAAATACTAATTGAGTGTATGTAAACTTCTGACCTACTGGGAATGTGATGAAAGAAATAAAAGCTGAAATAAATCATTCTCTCTACTATTATTCTGACATTTCACATTCTTAAAATAAAGTGGTGATCCTAACTGACCTAAGACAGGGAATTATTACTAGGATTAAATGTCAGGAATTGTGAAAAACTCAGTTTAAATGTATTTGGCTAAGGTGTATGTAAACTTCCGACTTCAACTGTGTGTATATATATGTATATATATATATATATATATATATATATACAGTGGGGAGAACAAGTATTTGATACACTGCCGATTTTGCAGGTTTTCCTACTTACAAAGCATGTAGAGGTCTGTAATTTTTATCATCGGTACACTTCAACTGTGAGAGACGGAATCTAAAACAAAAATCCAGAAAATCACATTGTATGATTTTTAAGTAATTAATTTGCATTTTATTGCATGACATAAGTATTTGATACATCAGAAAAGCAGAACTTAATATTTGGTACAGAAACCTTTGTTTGCAATTACAGAGTTCATACGTTTCCTGTAGGTCTTGACCAGGTTTGCACACACTTCAGCAGGGATTTTGGCCCACTCCTCCATACAGACCTTCTCCAGATCCTTCATGTTTCGGGGCTGTCGCTGGGCAATACGGACTTTCAGCTCCCTCCAAAGACTTTCTATTGGGTTCAGGTCTGGAGACTGGCTAGGCCACTCCAGGACCTTGCGATGCTTCTTACGGAGCCACTCCTTAGTTGCCCTGGCTGTGTGTTTCTGGTCGTTGTCATGCTGGAAGACCCAGCCACGACCCATCTTCAATGCTCTTACTGAGGGAAGGAGGTTGTTGTTCAAGATCTCGTGATACATGGCCCCATCCATCCTCCCCTCAATACGGTGCAGTCGTCCTGTCCCCTTTGCAGAAAAGCATCCCCAAAGAATGATGTTTCCACCTCCATGCTTCACGGTTGGGATGGTGTTCTTGGGGTTGTACTCATCTTTCTTCTTCCTCCAAACACGGCGAGTGGAGTTTAGACCAAAAAGCTATATTTTTGTCTCATCAGACCACATGACCTTCTCCCATTCCTCCTCTGGATCATCCAGATGGTCATTGGCAAACTTCAGACGGGCCTGGACATGCGCTGGCTTGAGCAGGGGGACCTTGCGTGCGCTGCAGGATTTTAATCCATGACGGCGTAGTGTGTTACTAATGGTTTTCTTTGAGACTGTGGTCCCAGCTCTCTTCAGGTCATTGACCAGGTCCTGCCGTGTAGTTCTGGGCTGATCCCTCACCTTCCTCATGATCATTGATGCCCCACGAGGTGAGATCTTGCATGGAGCCCCAGACCGAGGGTGATTGACCGTCATCTTGAACTTCTTCCATTTTCTAATAATTGCGCCAAACAGTTTTTGCCTTCTCACCAAGCTGCTTGCCTATTGTCCTGTAGCCCATCCCAGCCATGTGCAGGTCTACAATTTTATCCCTGATGTCCTTACACAGCTCTCTGGTCTTGGCCATTGTGGAGAGGTTGGAGTCTGTTTGATTGAGTGTGTGGACAGATGTCTTTTATACAGGTAACGAGTTCAAACAGGTGCAGTTAATACAGGTAATGAGTGGAGAACAGGAGGGCTTCTTAAAGAAAAACTAACAGGTCTGTGAGAGCCGGAATTCTTACTGGTTGGTAGGTGATCAAAAGCTTATGTCATGCAATAAAATGCAAATTAATTACTTAAAAATCATACAATGTGATTTTCTGGATTTTTGTTTTAGATTCCGTCTCTCACAGTTGAAGTGTACCTATGATACAAATTACAGACCTCTACATGCTTTGTAAGTAGGAAAACCTGCAAAATCGGCAGTGTATCAAATACTTGTTCTCCCCACTGTATATATAGTATACTATTACCTTAACTATAATGAAAACAGAAGACATTCACAATGGTGTCCTACATATAAAATAAAGCCTGTTTCATAGAAGAGTCTTTCCTGTTTGCCCGGGATCCAAGGCCCTTGCCTGCCCTGACAGTTGTAAGATTAACTTAGTTAGGTGCTAACCTGCTCATGCTCACCAAATTAAATTAATGGAACAAATTTCCCTCCTAATTAAGATTAAAATTTGTGTCAGTTGTAACCTTGCTGAGCACTAATTATGTACAAATGATTTGTCATCTGTTTGGTCCTGAATAGCAATGGTCTCACCTCACTGATAGCCATGGCCGCAGTTTAAGAGATGGCTGCTGATTAACACTGACAGTTTTGCTACCGAGGAGCAGCCAATGAGAACAGATGCACTGAATCTCCCTCCTTTCAATTCACCTATATTGGATGTGTAGATGAGTTTCACTGGGCTCAGCTCTGACATGTTTCTCTTTCCTGAATGAAAATAAAGTGTCTGCTGACTGATATTTATGGATGAGTGTCTCTCAGTTTGTAATTGATCGTGAATCCATGTAGGGCATTTCAAATTGAGAGTGCACTGATGATACCTGTATGATGACTGATAAATATAGGTAGCGGTGAATAAACATCCTGGTTTGAATCCAGGCTCTGTCATAGCCGGCCGCGACCGGGAGACCCATGGGGCGGCGCACAATTGGCCCAGCGTCGTCCAGGGTAGGGGAGGGAATGGCCGGCAGGGATGTAGCTCAGTTGGTAGAGCATGGCATTTGCAACGCCAGGGTTGTGGGTTCGATTCCAGTATAAAAAATAAAAATTTATGCACTCGCTCTGGATAAGAGTGTCTGCTAAATGACTAAAATGTAAATATAGCACTCCTAATATATTCTCTTCACTTTCCTCCCGTTAGAAACAATGGGTTCCATAAAGCACATCTGAGCTTGTGCATTTGACTTGAAAGGTCTGACCAGGCTAGTTCTATGATGATGCCAGTAGATGGTGCAATAGGTTAAGATTGGCAGTGAACAAGTGGGGTATAAAATGCAGTAGGGCTAAAAATGCCAAAACACTCAGAGCTCTGTACAATAGTGTAACTGGTGTACTCCATTTTATTTCCCTGCTTTAGAGCTACATGGGAAGATACATTTCAATGGGAGCCAACAGTGATTAGCATTAGAATCCTGGTCCTCATGGGGGTGAGGACACACTGGCCAATCTGTAATCAGCGTTCCGCAGACTTGCTCACAAGAGATACAGCGTGCTTTGTCATTATCATTCAAGATGCCACACACATGCTGGTATTGGTGCTTCCGTATGGCCAGCTAAATTACATTAGCATTTTGCCTCATAGTCTTAAGAATTCTCATAGACAATGATGAACTAGTAGACTTGGAACCACAAATATCTACCCTCTGTTTCTAAAGCTCCAGTATATATTATTTTCCATACTGTGTTTCTTTCTAATTTATTTTGAATTATAGACATAAGTGTGTGTCACTGTGTGCCTGCATGCTGTGCTCCTTAAATACCACACGGAATGTCTAATCATGCAATTATGGACCATTTGCCTTTCCATTATTACTCATTGAGCAATACCATGAATGTGATGGTTGGTATTATATTGTTGTGGTAAATGCCAATGTACTTTCTGAGGGAGGTACTTGCACGGTTCTTTATTCATTCTTGGCTTGTCTTCTGCTTGGCCATCCTCTGCTGCTGTAAACACAACACATTACAGATGTTCATGCAGATTCACAGCATGTCAGTCAGTCACAGAGAGAGAATAAATATGTCAAGCCCCCCTGATCCACCCTGTGAGCCCTGCGGACCTGGGGGCACACTGGAACGTGCAAACATGTAAAAAATAAAAATAATAAAAATAATAACATACAAAATATCATTTTCTGGAATTTCAAATAAGGCATTTCATTAATATTATGAGTTTATGTTAGAAAACTATTCTTAATTCTCTATGGCATTTAGACAACAGCTTTAGTAATGTTATGTTTTAAATGATTGAAGACTACCACCGTCGTCCCCCACAGAAATGACACGTAACGGCATAAAATATGTTACAGGTATTTATTGGTCATGATGTACAGGCAGCCCCAGTGAAACACATACTCAGCCATTTTCCTTTGTTGGCCTCAGTGGTTGTCGGTTTTAAATAACACCTCTGAGAGGCTGAGAGTTCCAGTGGCACTGCAAAACGCATCTATTATCCCTGTCTGGGGATTGGTGGGCGAGTCAGAGAGGGGAGGGGTTTAGGGGTTAATTAGAGACAACAGAAAGGTCAGGGGGCCTAGTATGTGTGAGCTGAGACCTGTAACAGGCCAATAGGGGGTGACTTTAACGAGAGCCCACCTCACCCTGCACCTTCCCCATCAGTCACATTTATACCAGGGTTGTGTCTGACTGGGACACACAGGGCTGGTAATGAAAAGGCCCTTAACATTGAGCCAGTCAGGATGATGAATTGGGTCCCCGGCCATTTTCTCTTAGCGTCAGGGGGCCTCCAAATAGTCCTTGACAACTAATTGAAACCCCCTCTGTATCCTGCCTGTACCTAGCAGGTTCCCTCTACCATTCTGATTATTAGGGTTAAGGACATCTCCCCTGGGATTATTGGTACTGCTGTAGTGGATGGGATTCGCAGAGTGTCCAGATTGAATCCAGAAACAGTTCTAACTTAATTCACCACCTCTCTTCTTCTTCTCCTCTATGTGATTTTATGTCCTAGCCATCCAGTGTAAATGGATACTAAGGTGTTTTCACTGGTGTGTTGGAAAGTAGTTTAGTGACAGTTCTTCCTACTGTATGTCAGAAGAAATGGAAATATCCCTTATTAGTTTAACTATCTCTGTGCCAAATAATTGTCCCTCAAAAGTACAGCTGCCCAATATCCCTGTCCTGCTTCTCACTGTATACTCAAACAGAAAGGTGACCCCATTCTCTCTCCTGTCATCTTTCATTCATGATGGCTGCACAGCTTCTCCTCTCAAGTCTCTTACAACTGTTCAGTCAAGACATTCCATTTGCTCCAGCATGTGGTCTAATAGGCTTATGCTATGGAGGTGAGGCAGTTACAGTGTGGAGTAGATCACAGATCATCCCCATTCCCATTTACACTTGATTTGGTATTCAGTATTCAGACTTTTGCCTTCTCAAAGTCTTACAGACCATCCACGCTCTCTCAGTCTATTAGGATTTGTTGTTATGTTTACAACAACTCTGGATTTCATCCAATGGATAGACCAAAAATGACAATAGGCCTACGCTTTGACAGATTTGATCCATATTAAAGACATTCTTATATAATTATCACTGCTTTGATATACAAATCCAATTATGCCTGTTCACAATCAATAGCCAAACAAGTCAACCATTTTATCAATGTGTTTATAAATTAATGTATTTTAATTTAAACCACTTTTGTGCATTTTATAATGTTTTACATTAAAGTCAATTATGCATTTATTCTACTTGGGCAGAGCGTGGGCTTTGTGCAATGAGGTTACGTCAGGGTTTAATAAGCTGATTGGTTGGCCACGTAGCCAGTGCATCGGAAGTTAGCGATAAGGGTAGTTTTCATTTTTTTGTCTCAAACTCCTGCTACTACATTTAAAAAAATAAGCGAAATGTGTCTTTTACAGTTTTAGAAAGGGACTTTATAAACATTGAAGGTAATATTTATTATTTAATTCAAGGCAAATAGTGTGTGGCTGTCAATATCAGCTGACGAAGTTTGCTGGCTAGCTAGCTAGGCTAATAAACAAGATGTGTTTGTTGATTATCATCAGTCAACTGTTGCTAGCCTATATTTAAAAAAATGCTAATTCGTTTTATGTAGCACTACACTATATAGTTAGATAACGTTTGGTAATTATTGTTTGTATTCAACAGTGTATTCAAAGTATTAATGTTAGCTATTATGCTAGCTGGCTGGCTATCTTCTAACGTTAGCTAACTAGTGTCAATGACCTTCGCTAGCTAGTTAGATAACGTTACGCTGCTCTGGCAGTGCCAATACTGCCACACGTTGCTATTATATCAGCTCCCAATCTCGAAGTAGATGACACGTCACTGTAGGTAGATAGCTCGCTACTTTTGACCTAGTTATCTGGCAAATGTGATGTATTCATTTGCTGAGGCTGAGCATAACGTGGTTTGGTCAAATGACTGAAGAGTTATTGTTTCTTCCTGAGACAAAGAAATCAACATTAGACATAGCTAGCTACTCTTAATTATTTTACTAGTGTTTGTAAGCTGAGACATGAACATTGACTAACTAGTTAAGGGCTGGGGCAAAAGTGTGACACCAATCAGGCCCCAGAGGACTGGAGATGCCCATCCCTGAACTAGACAAACATATATGTGGTTGTACACTGACTTCACACCTCTGGGCTGTGGTTGTTTGTTGGATGATCATGTAGCCACACTTGTATACCTAAATATATTATTGTGTTTCAGGGTATAAGTGATGTCAGTGGACAGCGCGATCACTGGAGGATAGAGTTAGTGTTTCCCCTTTCCTTCTGTCCTGGCGTCCACGGTTGCCGCAGCCATGGCCGACTCCACAGTAGTCAGCGACCAGCAGCGTTCTGGGTCCGGTCAGACCACTCCTTCCAGAGGACCATACATCGCAGTGATCACCAACAGAAGCACCACCCTGGTGATCCGTGGGTTCATGCTGTTCTCTATAGGAGTTTTCCTGGCTCTGGTGCTCAACCTGCTGCAGGTGAGCTATGTTTGTCTTTTAATGATACATCTCTTGAATGGGGAAACATTTAAGGGGTAGATATGACTAAGAGTACTGAAGTAGCTAATGTTTGTTTTCTCTCGCTGCAGGTACAGAGGAACGTCACTCTGTTCCCGCCTGATGTCATTAGTAGCATCTTCTCATCAGCCTGGTGGGTGCCGCCCTGCTGTGGGACCGCCTCAGGTAGGACACACATACATTTACATTTTAGTCATTTAGCAAACGTTCTTATCCAGAGTGACTTACAGTTAGTGCATTCATCTTAAGATAGCTAGGTGGGACAACCACATCACAGGCATAGTAAGTACACTTTTCCTCAATAAAGTAGCTATCAGCAAAGTCAGCGCTAGAAGGGACACACACACACAGGTTTTTGCCGCCAGACTTGACTACTAGCATTATTGAATTGTTGTCCCCTGGGTCTACAGCACTGAGTGTAGATGTAGCTGCTGATCCCTAGTGGACCAGTAGAAAAGCACAACAGCCCCAGGCCTGTATCCCCATGAGACTGCCGTGCTCCACTGCTCAGCTTGGGGGAGATGGACGTTTCCACTGTTACTGCACACTGGGCTGTTTGCATCATGCAGTAGCTACAGTTGAAGTCGGAAGTTTACATACACCTTAGCCAAATACATCAATTCCTGACATTTAATTCTAGTAAAATGTCCCTGTTTTAGGTCAGTTAGGATCACCACTTTATTTTAAGAATGTGAAATGTCAGAATAATAGTAGAGAGTGATTTATTTCAGCTTCTATTTCTTTCATCACATTCCCAGTGGGTCAGAAGTTTACATGCACTCAATTAGTATTTTGTAGCATTGCCTTGAAATTGTTTAACTTGGGTCAAACGTTTTGGGGTAGCCTTCCACAAGCTTCCCACAATAAGTTGGGTGAATTTTGGCCCATTCCTCCTGACAGAGCTCGTGTAACTGAGTCAGGTTTGTAGGCCTCCTTGCTCGCACACGCTTTTTCAGTTCTGCCCACACATTTTCAATATTATTGAGGTCAGGGCTTTGTGATGGCCACTCCAATACCTTGACTTTGTTGTCCTTAAGCCATTTTGCCACAACTTTGGAAGGATGCTTGGGGTCATTGTCCATTTGGAAGACCCATTTGCGATCAAGCTTTAACTTCCTGACTTATGTCTTGATGTTGCTTCAATATATCCACATTATTTTCCTTCCTCATGATGCCATCTATTTTGTGAAGTGCACCAGTCCCTCCTGCAGCAAAGCACCCCCATAGCATGATGCTGCCACCCCTGTGCTTCACGGTTGGGATGGTGTTCTTCGGCTTGCAAGCGTTCCTCTTTTTCCTACAAACATAACGATGGTCATTATGGCCAAACAGTTTCATCAGACCAGAAGACATTTCTCCAAAAAGTACCTGTTTCCTCCAGCATCTTCACAAGGTCCTTTGCTGTTGTTCTGGGATTGATTTGCACTTTTCGCACCAAAGTACGTTCATCTCTAGGAGACAGAACGCGTCTCCTTCCTGAGCGGTAGGACGGCTGCGTGGTCCCATGGTGTTTATACTTGCGTACTATTGTTTGTACAGATGAACGTGGTACCTTCAGGTGTTTGGAAATTGCTCCCAAGGATGAACCAGACTTGTGGAGGTGTACAATTTTATTTCTGAGGTCTTGGCTGATTTCTTTTGATTTTCCCATGATGTCAAGCAAAGAGGCACTGAGTTTGAAGGTAGGCCTTGAAATACATCCACAGGTACACCTCCAATTGACTCAAATGATGTCAATTAGCCTATCAGAAGCTTCTAAAGCCATGACATCATTTTCTGGAATTTTTCAAGCTGTTTAAAGGCACAGTCAACTTAGTGTACTTCTGACCCACTGGAATTGTGATACAGTGAATTATAAGTGAAATAATCTGTCAATAAACAATTGTTGGAAAAATTACTTGTGTCATGCATAAAGTAGATGTCCTAGCCAACTTGCCAAAACTATAGATTTTTAACAAGAAATGTGGTTGAAAAACGAGTTTTAATGACTCCAACCTAAGTGTATGTAAACTTCCGACTTCAACTGTATTTAAGCAATAAGGCATGAGGGGGTGTGGTATATGGCCAATATATCATGGCTAAGGGCTGTTCTTAAGCACGACTCAACACTGAGTGCCTGGATACAGCCTTTAGCCGTGGTATATTAGCCATATACCACAAACCCCTGAGGTGCCTTTTTGCTATTATAAACTGGTTACCAACGTAATTAGAGAAGTCAAAATATTTTGGGGGGCATACCTGTGGTATACGGTCTGATATACCACGGCTGTCAGCCAATCAGCATTCAGGGTTTTAACCACCCAGTTTATAATGGGTTTTATTGACTAGTCAAGACCAGAGCAGCACTTCTTGTTTACTGTACGTAGTTACCTAAACTTGCACAGCAATCTGTATAGTTATTGTATAATATTGAACCTATAGCTTTCAAAGGAGGCAAACCTCAACAACAGTGTCATCAGAATAGCATTGATGCTATGTGGTGGGCTGACATGGCAGCCTTTCTCTCCACAACCATACTAACAGGAATGTACGGCACGGGTTGTGCTACTGCAGCAATAAAGCTGATTGTTGATCTCTGATCCCCTCTCCCTATTTCTGCACCCTCAATCCCCTACCTCTATCTCCATCTACCTCGCTCTCTCAGCAATGATCGGTCTGTTGTATCCGTGCATTGACAGTCGGCTCGGCGAGCCCCACAAGTTCAAGCGGGAGTGGTCCAGTGTGATGCGCTGTGTGGCCGTGTTTGTGGGAATCAACCATGCCAGCGCTGTATCCTCTATGTCCCTCAAACTCAACTGTAAACCATGGGGCAAAAGCATTCCATGTTGACATTTCTACGTGCAAATCATACTTGATTTAAATTGTATTTATAATCGCAACACACTTTACAATAAAATGAAAGAATCTGTAGATGTGCCTATGAGCAAGGCACTTTACCCTAATTGCTCCTGTAAGTTGCTCTGTATAAGAGCATCTGCTAAATGACTCAAATGTAATGTGTAAAACAATAAGATCAGAGACTAAAGGCTCAGCTAAAACGGTAGTCTGTTTACAAGAAAGGACCTTACTGAGTAGAACCCATGGTTCCTGTGTGGACTATCCTACTACATGATCAGCTGTCCTTAACCCAGGCCCTCTCAGAAAGTGGACTTTGCGAACAACGTGCAGCTGTCCCTGACGCTGGCGGCCCTGTCCATCGGCCTGTGGTGGACATTTGACCGGTCCCGCTCCGGCTTTGGCCTGGGAGTGGTCATCGCCCTGCTGGCCACTCTGTCCACTCAGCTCCTGGTCTACAACGGAGTCTTTCAGTGAGTACTACTATAATACCATTTACAGGACATACATGTGTTATAATTAAGCAATAAGGCCTGAGGGGGTGTGGTATATGGCCAATACCACGGCTAAGGGCTGTTCTTACGCACGACGCAACGCAGAGTGCCTGGAAACAGCCCTTAGCCGTGGTATATTGTCTATATGCCACAAGCACCCAATGTGCCTTATTGCTATTATCAACTGGATACAACATAATTAGAGCAATAAAAATAAATGTTTTGTCATAACCGTAGTATACAGTCAAATATACCATGGCTTTGAGCCAATCAGCATTCAGGGCTCGAAACACCCAGTTTATAATATTTTTCAAGATACAGGAGGGATTTCTGTAGATTTTCATGCTCATTTGGGGATTGTCCTACGTTTAATACCTGTTCTATTGTTTTGTTTCAGGTATACCTCTCCAGATTTTCTGTACATTCGCTCCTGGTTACCTTGCATCTTCTTCGCTGGTGTGATAACCATGGGGAACATAGGACGGCAGCTAGCCCTGGTGAGAATAACTTTATTATGCTGAATTAAAGTGGCATAGGTTTATAAATGTCCTACATACGTGCATGTATACATTCATTCCAACCAGAGCTTTTTACTGAATATTCAACTGGCACATTACATTATCCCTTGTCTCCTGTGTTCTCTTTTCCAGTATGAATGCAAACTTATGTCAGAAAAGACTCATCAAGACTGAGAGAATTTCTGGCTATATCAAACTTTCGCTCAAAATTACATTTTTGTAGCAACGAAAAGCCAAAAGGGGATGTAAAAGGACATCTGTATGCAGCGTTGATGGGGATTGGTGAACCTTGGAGGAAGCAGAGCAGTCACCCACAGACAACAAATTATGTGCTTCTGCTTTGCTGATGAGTGCTTTGCTGTGGAAAAGACAGTGTTTTGATTGGTTCTTATGTGCCCATTCTGGGCCTAGGGGGACAGACACCAGCTCGCTTTATTATAAGCATTCAATGGATGGTCTAAGGAGAGGAATAACAAGAACTGCCAATGTGATGTCGTGTGTGGTAGGTACACTACTGTTCAAAAGTCTGGGGTCACTTAGAAATGTCCTTGTTTTCGAAAGAAAAGCAATTTTTTTGTCCATTAGAATAACATCAAATTGATCAGAAATACAGTGTAGACATTGTTAATGTTGTAAATGGCTATTGTAGCTGGTAACGGCTGATTTTTAATGGAATATCTACGTAGGCGTACAGAGGCCCATTATCAGCAACCATCAGTCTTGTGTTCCAATGGCACTTTGTGTTTGCTAATCCAAGTTTATCATTTTAAAAGGCTAATTGATCATTAGAAAACCCTTTTGCAATTATGTTAGCACAGCTGAAAACTGCTAATTTTAAATAAGCAATAAAACTAGTTGAGTATCTGGAGAATCAGCAATTGTGGGTTCGATTACAGGCTCAAAATGGCCAGAAACGAGTAACTTTCTTCTGAAACTCGTCAGTCTATACTTGTTCTGAGAAATGAAGGCTTTTCCATGCGAGAAATTGCCAAGAAACCGAAGATCTCGTTCAACGCTGTGTACTACTCCCTTCACAGAACAGCACAAACTGGCTCTAACCAGAATAGAAAGAGGAGTGGGAGGCCCCGGTGCACAACTGAGCAAGAGCACAAATACATTAGTGTCTAGTTTGAGAAACAAACGCCTCACAGGTCCTCAACTGGCAGCTTCATTAAATAGTACCCGCAAAACACCAGTCTCAACGTCAACAGTGAAGAAGCGACTCCTGGATGCTGACGACCTAGGCTGAGTTGCAAAGAAAAAGCCATATCTCAGACTGGCCAATAAAAAAGAAAAGATTAAGATGGGCAAAAGAACACAGACACTGGACAGAGGAAGATTGGAAAAAAGTGTTATGGACAGACGAATCGAAGTTTGAGGTGTTCGGATCACAAAGAAGAACATTTGTAAGAAGCAGACCAAATGAAAAGATGCAGGAGGAGGGCTTGATGCCATCTGTCAAGCATGGTGGAGGCAATGTGATGGTCTGGGGGTGCTTTGGTGGTGGTAACGTGGGAGATTTGTACAGGGTAAAAGGGATCTTGAAGAAGGAAGGCTATCACGCCATTTTGCAACGCCATGCCATACCCTGTGGACAGTGCTTGATTGGAGCCAATTTCCTCCTACAACAGGACAATGATCCAAAGCACAGCTTCAAACTATGCAATAACTGTTTAGGGAATTTGTCTATAATGGAGTGGCCAGCACAGTCACCTGATCTCAACCCTATTGAGCTGTTGTGGGAGCAGCTTGACCGTATGGTACGTAAGAAGTGCCCATCAAGCCAATCCAACTAGTGGGAGGTGCTTCAGGAAGCATGGAGTGAAATCTCTTCAGATTACCTCAACAAATTGACGGCTAGAATGCCAAAGGTCTGCAAGGCTGTAATTGCTGCAAATGGAGGATTCTTTGACGAAAGTAAAGTTTGAAGGACACTTATTATTTCTTTTAAAAATCATTATTTCTAACCTTGTCAATGACTACATTTCCTATTCATTTTGCTATATTTCCTATTCAAACTAATTTCATGTATGTTTTCTAAGTGACCCCAAACTTTTGAACGGTAGTGTAGGTCCCATCTTCAACGCAATCTGTGATTGCAACTCAACGGGCACCAATATTAGTGTAGCTGTGCTGTTGTTCAGAGCACCATGGTGTGAAACCTTTGGCTCCATCGTGCCAAACAGGATCATCGAAATTCTTTTCTTTCTTCATCCATTCTTTATATTCTTTATATATTGGTAGAACCTACAGTATATAGCCCATTTCATATGTACAGAGATACATGTATTCCATGCTTTTACAATGTACAATTATATACAAACATATAGTCGTTTATTTTTATGTCGATAATGTCTGATTGCTGGCAGTCATGAGTAGGGGTGAAGTGTTCAGTGTTGCACTTATTTGTGCCATCCCAGCGTTATATCAAGGCAACCAGCATCCTGGGTCCAGTTGGTATTTCATCCAGCCTTACCAGACCCTGCTTTTCTACACCTGGCCATTATGTGTACATTCAATGTTCAATTAAATGTCATTTAAAGTAACCTTTTTGTAAAAAATAAAATAAAAAGCTCATAGAAGTTTATGGGAAAATTTCACTTCATTAACTTAATTTTGGTTAATTTCCTGAATTGAAAACTGAATTGATCCAATCAGAGACCAGGCTTCCCATTTCATTGTCCAACCACCAGGTGCACACAAGTATCCACATCATCAGTGGGTCCTTGGGTCAGAGGTGTCCTTGGGTTTGTAATGCCAGATCTGCATTTTTTTAAATAGAAAAATTAGATTCATTATAAGGATATAATACAGTGTTACATTCCTGGGTGCAGTTGGACTTACATACTGTTGGGTTAGGAGGAACCTCACTTCTCGTCGTAAAGATGGTCTTATTGGAAATAGAGGCCAAGATAAAGGGATGGCTTTCTATATCTAGAAAATGTTGCAGGACTGCTAAGTGAAAGGAATTTTATTCAGATGTTTTTTTAAAACTTTTGCTAAACTTTAACATTCATAAATTAACATGACTGGTTGAATTAGAGGAAGCTCAAAATGTGTTTAAGTGTCTCAAGTGTTTTTGTAAAATATTGTTTGTCATTTCACTGTGCATGATAAGGCAAACAAACTGCCAATGACAGCAGAGGAAAGAAAATGAAGAACCTATAATCAATATTAAAATAACTAACTTGGATATCCTAGCATGTCAGTGTTATAGCTATTGTGAATTATTCTAGAAATATGATGAACTAGTTTTATTTCATGCATCTCTTCAGGAAGTAGAGGATTTAACTGGTTGAACTGGGACATTTTCATCCTCTCACTATAACAGAAACTCTGGAACTTGAACATGTGCAATCTCTTTCAAAAAAATAAAGAACATGCCTTTTGTTGATGACAGGTTTATGTTGTTTCTCCCTGGTCACACGCACACAGCTCTGAAAGATTTTAAGGAAAGACATTGTACATTTTGTTGTTAGAGAGCCTCTTGGTCATGATGCTTAGGCTACTCTACATGGTTAGATTAACGTGTATTGGCATGAATATACCAGTGCTGCAGTCCAAATGTGCAGTGCCTGTTATGGCAGGTTTGGCCTATCTAACTGGTGTATTCTACTAATGTGGATTAATGTTGCCCGTCTTCACCTGCCTCCCACAATAACAGGCTTCTATAGACACATAATTAAGATGAATAATTTGAAGTTGACTCCTTTGTTTGCGTGGTTGCTAAATTCCAGGATATGTGGATGTTTTTTTCTTTGGTTTTACGGTCCTGTATGAGGCAATTTACTGTGTGAATGTTATTGTTCAAGACTAACTAGCTAAAACAATAGGCGTGATGTGTCATAGCAGAAAGTGGTGCTGCGAAGAGCTAAACTCCCTCCTGCTAATGAATTCATTAATCTCTCTATTTATTCCTGACAAGTAATTATCTCCTCTTAGAGACTGAGGGTCCGGAGGCAAGGTTGAGAGCACTCAGATACACTGCAAGGAAAAACTAAGATGGGCTCTTTTCCCAACCAGCCAACCATTCCACAGGCTCCTTAGCATAGTCGTGGATTGTGGGTAGTAGAGATGGTTGTTGTCATAACACGTTCCTTTGGAACATTCACCTTGAGCGGCCCACATGTTTGCTATCCCCACTTCTGACACCAGTGTAGCAGGTAGATAGCTAGTATTGAACCCAGTAGTACCCTATCGGTACAGTTGTGTCCAACACCTCTCAAAGCAAGTCTGCTGTTAACTGTGGTCACTGCATTTGCTCATCACATGAAAACTCTGGTAGGAATTTGACCTTGCCCACTGAGGTGTTTTCACACATGGCAGGGCACAAAATCCATAAAGTCTCAGTGAAATTGAAAGGGAGGTGGGTCTTCATACAATGAAATGGATGCTCCACTGCCACGTTGCCTGCAAGTCTCTAAGGAATGACCATCTAAATCGGAGCAAAATCCTGTTAAACGGTGTCAACATGAATCACCGACTCCAAAGACATCCATCAGGGCTAAGAAGTTGACCACAAATGACCTGTGAACCACTATATGTTGATTACTCATGTACGGCCAGTGTCAGGTTTAATGTTGTGGCTGCCTGAGAGTGGTGCCTCTGACAGCCCCTGCCCTAACTCTCCTCTAATAGATTTTAATGGTGAGATATTGATTTCTCTGTGGCCAAGGTCTCCCATTGAGGATCATTTGTTGGGGTAATGCAGAACAACCCATGCATCCGTCACAATCTATCACTTTGACAGGGAGCACCAGATATTATCCACGACTGAGATGGTTGAGCAGAGAGCTACAGTACATGGCTGAGAGCTCCTGCAGAGAACTGAAACTCCAGCTAGATAATATGAATACTAAGATGTGTTTATTGAGTGGGAATGCTCATCAAATCAGCGCTGACGTGAAAGCAGCTAGTCGGAGTGCCTGGAGCAGAGAATGAGGATCTCAGTGAGAGGGTCTATATTTTATTTCAACGTCTGAGGCTGCTGGAGACTGCAGCAGGGAATGTGTTGTGTTACAACCCAGTGGCTGCATGGTTCTCTCCACCCACAGCGATAACACACTAGCTAATGGGAGCCCATCAATCACAATCACACTCCTATTCCACCAGTGTCTCGATCTGCTCTTCCCTCCTCCCTACCAGCTCTGTAGCAGGAACAGCACAGGTAATAGTGGCGTTTTGTAGCCTAACACATTCCAGGATCATATTTACAGCTAAGGAATAAATGGCTTTGCCAAGTCAGCATCTCTTTAACAAGGTAACAGAAAAGTCAGTGAAAGAATCATGAGACCTTGAACCAGAGGAAGGAGATGATGAAAACCAGCCTTGTGTAAAGTGGGACATTATAGGTGGATGTTTGGTGCTGAATACAGCTAGTTGTTTTGGTTTCATTACCCTGCAGATGCAAGGGTGCTATCAAGTCAATCTGAGCACAGAATGGACAAATGAACACATTGTTAGGATGATTTTCTTACAATATTCTACATCGGTTGATATATTTTAGGGCCTTCCATTAGTATTATAGTGATATATTTTGCTATCACAAAGGCTGCGTATAGACAGGCAGCCCAATTCTGATCTTTTTCACTAATTGGTCTTTAGACCAATCAGGTCAGCTATGAAAAAGAGCTGATGTGAAAAGATCTGATGTGATTGGACAAAAGACCAATTAG